TATGATAGAGTAAAACTGCTTCTTCCATCACACATCTATATTTATTGTTTTATATGTTTTAAAGAATATAGGTGGTAGTTAGTGGAGGAAATTGAGTCATTATGCCTATATATCAACATCTAATATTCCAAGTTAAATTTCCCGCACTTTCTCTAATTTCTCCAACTCTGCGGCCAGTAAACTTTTTGAGAACTTTTGTGCTATTTTTTTCTTAAACACTTGCTTTTCTCGTTCACTAACTTCTTCAGATTCGTAAAGTTTGAGTAAATAATTCTGTAATTCAACTAATGCAAAGTCCACGAACTGGCTGGCTCAATCTACCTTTGATATCTCTTTTCAATTTTCTAAAACGCTGATAACAAAGATTAAAGGCCGTTTTTTTAAATATTCCACCGCACCTTCTTGTCACCCTTTTTTTGCCCCTTGTGCTTTCTTTTGACCTGGAGGCACAATTTTAAGTCCATCATAAAGTTCTCCTACATATTTAGCAGCCTCTTCTTCCATTCTAAATATATCCACCTGTGTAATAACCTTTTCGCCTCACAACTCAAAATAGGTCTCTTTGTTATGCTTTACTATTCTCCCATTTTTCGTTTCTTCTCACTCTTCAACTTTTTTTTCATAAGAAAATTGCGAATTGTTATGCCGGCAGGCACCATAATCACAATTGGAAATAAGTTTTTTTTCACTTTTTAAATTTGTATCACTTTTTTTTCTTATTGTCATTTTATCATTAGGGAATATATGCTATTTTACACCAAAATGGGATTAAGTTCCTATAATTTCTTTAATCTTTTGCCGCACAGTGGCTAATTCTAATTCTAATTCTAATTCTTTCTGTTTAGTAAATTCCAAGTTTTTTTGTTTTAGTTCTTCAATAGTTAAATCAATCGGAGCATTTAAAAACTCCTTACTTGTTATGCTTCGGCGGTTAGTAGTTCCCTTGCTTAAACTTTCAAAATATTCCTGATAATACTCAGTGGTTAATCAACTAACCAAAAAATAAGGGCTTAAATAACTAAATTCCTCTTTAATTTCAAAAAGTAAAAATGTGCTACTAATCAAAGAATTATTTAAGTTTTTGGGAATTACTCCAATGGCTCCATTTCGAGCATCTATTTTCGACATAATAATTAAGTCACTTCTTGCTAAATATCTTTTTGATTTAATTTGTGAGCCGATAATGTAATCTTTTTTGTTTTTAACCCTCTTCTCTACTCCTCTCCCTTTTATTCGAATAGTTAATTCATTATACGCTTTTTCTGGCTCAACCAAAGCCATTTTTGGTTTTATTTCTCTTAAAACTTCTTCTAGCGAAAATCCTTTTTGAGCCAGAACTGGACGGAACTTTCACTGATTATTTTCTAATTGTTCTTTGGTAATTTTGGTAAAAAGAAACTTTTCTAATAAAATATCATTTAAGTCATTTTCGTTAATTGGTTCTTTTAGAGCATCGAGGGTAAATCCCACCTGTTTAACTTCATAATAGTGAATTTCGTCTCTCTCTCTCTCTCTCTCTAAAAAGAGTATATGACCCTTGCCCGAAGTTTGCGTAAAAGTATTTAACGGCAAAGAAATCACTGTAACAGTAAATTCTTCAAAAAGTTTTTTTCTTAAATCTTTATAACCATTAAAGAAAGTGAATTTGTCCGGCACAATTATCCCCGCTCGTGAACCCTTTTCTTTTTTTAAGGCTTCTAAACAATGTTGAACACAAATAGCATTAGCATCATTACTTGGAATTTTATAGATACCGCCAAATTTAGTAGCCATATTAAAAGGAATATTAGTTATAACTACTTCGTATTTATTCTCAACCTTTTCTTTTAAAGTATCTTTTACTCGATGAATATTATTATGTCCGTCTCCGCTTAAAATCATGTTTAATTTAGCAACATAAGCCACCGTTGCTTTATCCTTGCCATAAAAAGTTTGTCGTTTTAATAGATTACTTAAACATTTTTCACAAATTTTCTTGTTTTGTTCGCTAATTAACTTAACTAGTTGAGAAGAAAAAAACTTTTGACAAAAATCACATTCAACATTAGCATTTTGGTTATTTTGTTCTGCTAAATTAGTAAGAGTTTTTGCTTGTTTTCGAATAAAATTAAAGGCTTCGATCAGCATCCCCCCTGAACCACAAAAAGGGTCATATACTTTTTCACCAAACTTAGGAGATAAATAATTAACCATAAAACGAACAATAGTACGTGGAGTAAAATATTGAGCTAAATCGTTTTTGCCCTTTCTTTTCAAAAAATATTCAAAAATTACCCCCTTAGCATCAAAATCACTTTGGGCAAAATCAATTTTATTCATTTCCTCAATTATCTCCTTAATAATAACAGCATCTCGAATTTTTAATGAAGAAGCATATTTGCCAATTTTGTAATATTGCTGATGTCTCTTTAATTCGTTATTGATAATCGTTTTAAGATTTTGGTCTTGCAAGTGAGAAATAATGTTTTGTCATGAACTTTGAGTGTCGTTAGGGTTAGAAATCAAGCGTAAAAAGAGTAGTTTGCAAAATTCAATAAACCTTTCGCTTCCTTCATCGGCTCCTTCTTCTCATAATTTGTCATTAATTTTTCCTAAAAGTTCTTCAAACTCCTTTTGACTAGCAATAACTTTTCCTTGGTGAATCAGATAAAAATAATTATTTCTAACTGAACTTAATTCTTGGGGTGAAGGTAAGTCTTCTAACGGTCTATTATTGATTAAATATTCTCGGTTAAAAGTTAAATGATAAGAAAAATATTTAAAAGCATCACTGGCAACCGCCAGAGGAGCATTAATTATCTTACACACTTTTTTTGCTTTTTCTAAACATTCATAGAGTTTTACATTGGGCTTTTTAACTTCTAAAACTAAAATGGGGGAGTCAGAATTATCATAAAAAACATAATCGGGTCTTATTTTCTTAATTTTGCCATCAGTGTCTTCGTATTCGTAAGTTTTTTGTCTAAAGACATTTCTTTTGGGGTCTTGCGGGTCATCTCTTCAACCTTTTTTGGCTAAAAGTCGATCGATTATATATTCGGCATCTCTTTCGTTTAAGTTTTCCATATTTTCTTTACTATTGCTATATGATGTTTTTAATTTTTCAGCCTAACCAGCTAAAATAACTTAATAAACGCTATGGGCGACGAGTCAAACGAGAGTTCTGTTTGTAATTTAAATATCTGCAAGGGCGAACACGATTTTCGATTATACCATCGCGGGATTTATAATGAAGATATAGAAGAAACAAGAAAAAAAGCCAAAATACATTGCCAAGAATGTAAACAAGTAATACCTTTTCATTTATTGCGCGGAGTTTTTTACCGAATAATTGAAAGCCCGGCCTTTTTTAAATTATTAGTTACCGGCAAAGGAACCGGCAAATCAGTTAATTTAGCCATTTTTCAAGCCTGACTTATTATGAACAACCATCAACGAGCCCGCTTTGTGTGAGTTTATCGTAACGAAAAGGATTTGTTAAAAAAAGGTAAAGATTTATGAAATGATGTCATCCAAATGCATTTACCGGATAAACAAGAACAAGGAGTGATTTCTAACTTTGTTCCGAAAGATTGAAAAGATTCTCGGGGGGCCCATGCCACGGCCAATGGGGTTAGTTATCTAGGTCGATTGCGAGTAGTTTTCGTTTGTTTGGCCGATTGAGATGACACCAGCGGCAAATTTAGCGGAGATGCCACCCACTTTGTTTTTGATGAAGCTATGGCTGGGGATGGCAAATATTTGGGTGATAAAGAGGAGGGATATTGAGGACATATTTTTGACAACGTAATGCACGAGGGCAACATACCAACCATTTGTTATTTTTTGGCTAATCCCCATACCAAAGGAATTTGGTGGCTAGAAAGATACACTAACCAAGAATGAATTGAGAAAGCTTTTGCCAAGGACGGGCAAAAACATTTTTTTGAAGGAGATGTCTATATTGAGAGAATTAAACAAACAGCTCCTTGTATGCTTTACCAAGCCCCAGCAGAAAGAGGAAAATTTGGTTGACTGATAAACACGGCTAGAAGTGATACTCGCCGCCAAGAAGGAACTTATTCCGAAGAAGTTAATAAATATATCCAATTGCCAATGCCAGAAAAGTTTAAGCAATTACGCTTAATAAAAAATTGTATCTGAGCCCGAGAAGTCAGAAGCGGAGTTACTGAACATAAGCAATTTATTTACAAAAGAGGAGAAGAAGAAAAAGTAGATTCTGATGTTATTCATTTATGCTTTGACATTGATGAATTCGCTACTAGCGAATGCAATAAAAAAAAGCGAATTTTGATTGATAAACCTAGTGAAATGAAATATTGACTAAAAGATATGTTATTTTGAAGTTTAGAGATGAATAAAAAAAATCCTTTATTCTTTACTGGAAAAAACGAAAACCGAGCGGCACAGGCCAAGGATATAATCATGAGCCTAATTAGAACCAATTTAAAAAGTTTGGATAAGAGTGATAGGAAGTAATGTCGTTTTATCTACTTAGGGAGCATGATCAACCTTTTCTCTTTCCTTATCAGTTTCAGTGGTTTTATTTTCCTTTTCTTTAGTTATTTTCTCAAAAATTCTTTCTTTTGGTTCCGATTTTTTTTCACTAAGATCTTCCGGATTACCTAATTTAAAAACCACTTCGCCATCTACTACTAATTCATAATAGTGATTATTTTTTTCTCCTTCAAATTTTTCATAACACTCTTCAATAGTCTGGATTCTTTCTTGTAAATGGATATTTTCAGGATTTTCAAACTGGTCTTCTACTAACATCATTTCCCGGCTATTATGTCTTTCTTCTTTCTTAGAAGTATTATGTCTAATTCCATTTAAGCGACGATATAAACTAAACTGCAAATTTCACATTCTTTCATATTTGTCAAATTTACTTTCGGGAGTTCATTGTTCAGTAGTGTGTGGTTCAATGGGTTGGGTATCATCCAAAGAAAAAAAGACTACTGTATCCCATGCTTCTCACATTTTTCTAATCGCTTTTTTAATTGTATCGCTTAATTCTATCCGACTCTTAATGACAAAACGAGGCCGACTACATTCTAAATCAAATATCATCGAGCGATAAATAGCATCTAAATATTTATATTGCGTTTCGTTCTGTTGTAAATCAGGTTCTCATTTATCGTTATTGCCAAAAATTACATAATCTTGCGGGTCATTTTCCGTTAATAAATCCTCGTTAAAATCTTCTTGTCCAGCCCGATTGATATAGGTTACCTTAGCTTTTTTTAAAGGAACTCCCGGATTGGATTCTTCTAAAACATCGTGTTCCATTTCACTCAATTTACCTAATAAAAATAAATCTCGGCCTTTTTCTGGACCTGGTTTTCTAACTACTACTCCTTTTCCTTCGGTAGAATTAACCCGTTGCATTCTAACTCATAAAGAATTTTTAGTTAACGGATTATTACCTCGTAAAACAAAATATCCAGTATGATAATCACCGGCCCAAATTTTTAATTTGTCGGATATTTTGGCTCTTTTTAAGTCAATTCCTAGCATCTAATTTTAGCTTGCCAGCAATTTTTTGCATTGTAGTAATATAATAAGATTTTATCACTCCGTTGCCAGAAGACCCCTATCTTCTGTAAGTGGTAGTAGTTCACTAAAATTGTTATATTATACAATGACAGATACCACAACTCCCCGAAAAAAACCCCAAAAGTTCAGTAATTGAGAACAAATAGAAGACCGAATTGGCAGCAAAACTACTTTAGATTCTTTACATTATATTGAAGATAATTGGGAGGGGGAAGATTTAAAAGAACAAAAAAAACATTTTTACAATACCTACTTCAATCAAGAAAGAATTCATAAAAGTTTTGATTTAACTCCGGCCGATAAAGCCGCTATAGAAACGTTTAAGACCGAAATTCTTCCCCAATTAGATGGTTGGAAGGATAGTTTGGGTGATGAACAACAAAAGCAGGAAATGAGAAGGGTAATTACAACTTTGAATAATAGCCTCTTGTCTTTAGATAAACAATGAGAAGAATTAACTAACTTTCTAAATAAATATCCTGCTTCCAATGCCATAATTAATGATTATGTAGGTAGGTGAAGGAACATTAATGATGCCCGCGGAGCCTCAGTAAAATTTCGCACTAGTCAAGAAGTTAAAATGGAGGAAGACCCTGAAACTTATATGCAGGCCAAGATGGCCGTAGATGCTTTCCGTTTTAATCCTTCTCTTCATTATTCCGAAAATTGTCGCAATAAGATTCACTTCTTAAAAGAAGAATTAAAAATTAGTAGCAATGAAGATTTAATTCTCCAAAGAATGCATGGTTGCAATAATTTATCGGAAGCTTGAATTAGGTCACTAGATTTACCAACTTCCACCAAATTTACCGAAGATATGAAAGCCATTAAAGGCTTCAAGTCTTTTCTCGAAGAAATAAAGAATTACCTAATAACCGTTAAATTTTATCAGGCTGGTGGAGCAGTAGTCCCCCAACAATTCTATCTTTTGCTTGGGCCGCCTGGGGTGGGTAAATCTTACATCTCCTGACTTATTGCCAAGGCCCTTGGTAAACAATTTATCAATATTAACTGTGCTAGTGCCAAAATTTCAGAATTAATAGGAATTGCCCAGGATTACACTGGTAAAGATTTTGGTAAGATAGTAAAAAGAATGATTGAAGGTAAAGATCGGGCTCCCGTTATTCTTTTTGACGAGATTGATAAATGTAGTGACAAGGAAATTTTAAATACTATTAGTATTATTTTTGATGATACTAAAAATAAAACCGATTTTGAAGATGTTTATTTTCAGTTCCCAGTGCCGATGAATGAATGCTTTATGATTTGCACAGCTAACTATTTAGAAAGATTAGAGCAATTTGTTCTTTCGCGTTGCACAAGAGTAAAAATTGAATGGCTAACTTATGAAGATAGAATAGAGGTTGCCAAAAAGGAATTATTTAATGCTTTAAAAGAAAGCAAAAGCGGCATTGAAAAATATGCCGATGAAAATGGACCTGATTATAAGTTTACTGATAAATTTTTCCACCGAACTTTAGTAGAAGAATGAGGCGTGCGGGGTATTAAGAATAATATTAAATCTATGATTAAAAAGTTGATTAGTAAATGTGTAGAGGAGACGGGGACTAGTGCCAAGTTTGAACCTACTAAATTAGGCACCCTTGGCAATTTAGATGATTATGATTGAGGCTTTCGGTATTATCGTGAGTATGGACAAAGAGATGAAGCTGGCGGCAGACGAGTATTTACCTGTCTGGCCGGAATAAAACAATGAAAAAGTGAGGAACAATTAAAAGCATGACAAGAAGAACCGACCGACGAAGAGGAGAAAAAAAGACGAAGAAATTATACACTTCATGAAAAAGGTTGTGAATGTTTTGTTCCTTTTCGAATTAAAGGCTGAAGACGAGGTTTTTATACCCACGAAGAAAAATATAAACCGGATGATGGTGAATCTTGAAAACCTACCGAGTGGAAACCAGAAGATGATGGCCTCGAGTCTTCTAACCCCGATGACGTAAAACTAGACAAAGAATATTGAAAAAATGTATAAACATACTTGCCCTTTTTTTTAGCATTCTTTGCAGTAGAATCCGCCATAACTATCACCTTTATTTCTCTTCCCCGCTCTCATTCTTTCCATTATCACCATCAGGACAATCTAGACAATCAGCACCTCCAATTTCAAAAAAAAGGTCGGCGTTTTTGGTGTCCTCTTTATTGCTACAATCTCGACAAGTCCCCTTTTTGAGGTGTAAAATATATGCCTGCCTTTTTCATCAATTCGTTTTTGCCTGTTCTTTGGCTATGGCTTCATTCAAAACCTTCCCGGGAAATAATTGCATTCCGTTAAATAATTCGTCAGTCTTTTGGTTTATTTTATCGTTCATTGTAATTTTTTATTATTTTAAACCCTTTTCATTTTCTAATTTCAATTCACAATCCCTTTGGGTGGAAAGATTTGGATAAATTGAATCTATTTTCAACAAAAAGTGCATCAGGAAATTTCCTTTTATCATAAGCACTCAAAAAGATTAGTTTTTCTACTTTATCCTCCTTGATTAGTTT